AGAATTGTGGGAAAATTTTAAAGTAGCAATGTCTGAAGATTATATTCAACATTTTGGTATATTACAAGGACAAAATAAAGCATATGTACAAATTAATAGTATGCTTCGTGCTGAAGGTAAAAGTTTTGTAGATTTTCCACAAATGAAACAATTAACAGAAAATAATGAAGAAGAGAATTGCATGATATTTGAAGAAGCTATGGAAATAGGCACTAAACAATATAAACAATTAAATGATAAGCAGAAAGAGATCGTTGATCTTATATTAAATGAATTAAATAATAATATTACCTCAAATAATTGTTTTTATATTGATGGTCCAGGTGGATCAGGTAAAACATATATATACACAACTATCTATTATTTAGCTAGAATTAGAAATAAACGTGTATGTACAATGGCATTTACGGGTATTGCAGCTACATTATTACCTTTTGGAAAAACAGTTCATAAGATATTTGGATTACCAGTTCCTTTATTTGCTGATTCATCATCAACTATTAAAATCCAATCAAAAGAAGCTCAATATTTAAAAGAAATTGATATTTTTATTTGGGATGAAGCACCAATGGCACCACGATATGCTTTAGAAATAATGGATCGAACATTGCGTGATATTATGAATAATGATATTCCTTTCGGTGGAAAAATTGTTTTATTAGGTGGTGATTTTAGACAACTTTTGCCTATTAAAGTACATGCTACTCGAAGTGAAATTGTAAATCTTTCTATTAAGTTTAGTTCTCTTTGGAAGCATTTCGTAAAATTCTCTTTAATACAAAATATGCGAGTTCTTCCGGAAGAAATTGAATTTGTAAAGTTTTTATTGAATGTTGGAAATGGTATATTAAATGATTTTAATGATAATATACAAATTCCTGAATGTTATATAGCGTCTATTAATGCTGATATTGTGGAAGATATATATGGTGATTTAATAAGAAAAAAAGAATTTGTTAAAATGTCTAAATGTGCCATACTTCCTGCAAGAAATGTTGATGTAGATGAAATTAATAAGAAAGTTGTGGAATTATTAGATATAAATGATGAACGAATTTATACAAGTGTAGACACTGCTGTAAATAATGACAATGGTGACATAAGTGAAACATTGTTACCAGAATATTTAAATAGTTTATCTCCATCGTCTCTTCCTCCTCATGAATTACGTTTAAGACCAAATAGTATTATTATGTTAATTAGAAATTTAAGTATCAATGAAGGTCTTTGTAATGGCACTAGATTAATGATTATAGAGCTTACAGATCATTTATTAAAATGTAAGATTTTAACAGGTGATAAAACAGGAGACATTGTTTTTCTGAATCGTATAACGTTATATTGCGAAAATGTATTTCCTTTTACTTTTTCCAGAAGACAATTTCCAATAAAATTAGCTTTTGCCATGACGATTAATAAATCACAAGGACAGACGTTTGATAGAATTGGATTAGATCTTCGCAAAGATGTTTCTAATCATGGACAACTTTATGTTGCTTTTTCGCGAGTTCGTTCTTGGCAAGCATTAAAAGTTTATCTTGGTAATCAATGAAATAACAAATTTGTTAAAAATTATGTATATAAAGAAATTTATATTTAATTTTTTGTTTTTTAAATGTGAAAAAAACAATTTTGTTAAAGTAACAATAATAATAATAATAATAATTTGTTCAGCGAATATATAAAAATTCCTTACAAATATAAATTTTATTATCTAGATAGTACTAAACATTTCTATGAACGTACTATGAATATTCTTCAAGAATGTTTTGAATATTCTATAAGACATTCTTATATATTTATAGTATGTTTACAGTATATTCGAATGGCACTCTTTTAAATGTTTTTTGAATGTGACTAGAATAATCTATCGAATATTATATGTAATATTTTATGTATATTCATAGAATATTCCATATATGTCCTAATAGAATGTTCTATAAAAATGTGCGTAATATATTACACAGAATATTCTATACTCATTCTATAGCCCAGATTTTGAGTTCTCTTTTATTAATAAAAGTGCTTCTAAAAGTGGCTTATAGTCAATGAAAAGTCTTCTAAGCCACTTTTAAAAGTACTTTTTTCGATAAAAGAGAATTCAGAATATGGACTTATGTATTTACATTGAAATAAAATAAATAGTCTCTTCATAAAAAACATAAACATAAATTATTATTTTCAAAAACAGCTAAATTTCACCTTTTTACAAAAAAAACAAAAAATTACTATAAGTAGAAAATAATATAAGTTGAAAATGTTAAAGTATTAATTTTTTCTATTAACTGTTGATATCATCTGTTTCTTAATTTTAACACTTCCACATTATCAATTTCTTTTGTATTTTAAGTAATTTTTGTTCTTATAAAAAAGAATTTAACGACCCTTTTGAAAATAAATAATTCCATGTTTTTTAGAACTGATTATTTGATTATATAGGTTACAGAAGTTTACATTACGTAATTAATAAATACATAAAGTAATTTTAAGTTCATTTTTTTTATTTTAGAAAATAATTTTTAAAAGTTTTTACACATATTTTTATGAAAATACATATACACGCATTTATTAATATTTTATAATATTTATATAAAGATCATATAAATATAAAATATATTATATTTATGATAGAAATAATACTGTTGAATTTAATACTAGAATTCATAAAATCAAAATTATTTAACAAAACAGAATTACCGAAGATTGTTTAAGTGTCTAATATTTAAATATACACACACACACACACACACACATATGAATCTTAAACTTAACTTAAAAAAAACAATTTATAAAAATAATTATATAATGGAAATAATACTTTTGAATTTAATACTAGAATTCATAAAATCAAAATTTTTTAACAAAACAGAATTACCAAAGATTATGTCTAAGTGTCTAATATTTAAGTATACATAGGAATCTTAAACTTGACTTAAAAAAAAACAATTTATAAAAATAATTATACATTCCAACAAAAGAGAAAACTAGAAAAAAATGATTATGTTTATTTCTAAAAACTTGAAGTGTTTTAGAAATAAACAATAATTATTGTAAAAAATGTCAAATGAGTCATTTTTTATCTTTGGTACTTAACATTGCACTTAAAATAAAATTAAAGCGGTAGTTGAAATCGATCAGCACTGGCAATATTTATTGAGTTAAAAAATCACAATCACGACCAGTCACAAAGACCAGTCTTTCTCTGTGTGTTGATGGAGACGGTGACATGATAATCTTGACGAAGTGATTTCTTATTTCTCACGATAGAACTGTTAATTTAATTACTTTCACTCGAAAAGGACCAAAACCTATGGTCGAAACGTCGTGATTGTGATTTTTTAACTCAATAAATATTGCCAGTGCTGATCGATTTCAACTACCTCTTTTATTTATTTACTGGCGATCTTCAAGACAATTTAAATTTAAAATAAAATTATCTTTTACTTGGGAATATGTATTCAAAATAAAATTTTTTTGAACCTTTAAATTTTACGAATTTTTTTCTTTTGTTGACTGTTTTTGTCGTTCGATAGATTTTACAAGCTTATATTTTATTACAACCTGTATCATCGCTTCTGAGCAGCCATGCGTTTTTTGTACAGCAGATAATATTGCTGAGCAAATTCGAAGATTAGCAAAGTTACGTTTTCCTTTAAAACCTATCCAACTATAAGTCCTAGACAAATCATTAGATAGTATTCTTATTAACACACGTTTCACCATCTGTTTGTAGGATGTTCCTCCAATTCTAATAATTTCCGTTACCTAAAATACAAATTTATAAATTTCTAAATTTTACATAAAGAATAAGAAGATAAATAGATACAACATATACCTAGATAGCACTAAACATTTCTATGAACGTACTATGAATATTCTTCAAGAATGTTTCGAATATTCTATAAGACATTCTTATATATTTATAGTATGTTTACAGTATATTCGAATGGCACTATTTTAAATGTTTTTTGAATGTGACTAGAATAATCTATGGAATATTATATGTATTCATAACAATTTGTAACATTTTATGTATATTCATAGAATATTCCATATATGTCCTAATAGAATGTTCTATAAAAAAATGTGCGTAATATATTACACAGAATATTCTATACTCATTCTATAGCCCAGATTCTGAGTTCTCTTTTATTAATAAAAGTGCTTCTAAAAGTGGCTTATAGTTAATGAAAAGTCTTATAAGCTACTTTTAAAAGCACTTTTATCGATGAAAGAGAATTCAGAATATGGACTTATGTATTTACATTAGAATAAAATAAATAGTCTCTTCATAAATAATATAAATATAAATTATTATTTTCAAAAATAGTTAAATTTCACCTTTTTACAAAAAAAACAAAAAATTAAGTAGAAAATAATATAAGTTGAAAATGTTAAAGTATTAATTTTTTCTATTAACTGATATTATCTGTTTCTTAATTTTAACACTTCCACATTATCAATTTCTTTTGTATTTTAAGTAATTTTTGTTCTTATAAAAAAGAATTTAACGACCCTTTTGAAAATAAATAATTTTATGTTTTTTAGAACTGATTATTTGATTATATAGGTTACAGAAGTTTACATTACGTAATTAATAAATACATAAAGTAATTTTAAGTTCATTTTTTTATTTTAAAAAATAATTTTTAAAAATTTTTACACATTTTTATGAAAATACATATATACGCATTTATTAATATTTTATAATATTTATATAAAGATTATATAAATAAAAAATATATTATATTTATAATAGAAATAATACTGTTTAATTTAATACTAGAATTCATAAATTAAAATTTTTTAACAAAACAGAATTACCGAAGATTATGTTTAAGTGTCTAATATTTAAGTATACACATGTTATGTTGTTATATGTTGTTATATGTTAAGTATACAAATCAGTCAATTTTTTTATATGTAATAACTTGTATAAAATTATAAAAAAAATATATAATATATAACATATGTATAAAACAAAACATGCTACCAGAAATTTATTATAAAGAAAAAATTAAAAAACAAAGTAAAATAACAATAACTATAATATTGTCACATATGTGGAAGTTGTCATATATGTGGAAGTTGGATTTCTATGACTGTGACATATGTGTGGAAGTTAGATTTCTCTTATTCTGATTCTGTGAAAAAAATATATAAATTAATTAATATATATATATATACAGAGTGTCTCAAAACTCATAATCAATCTTTCAAAGACAGATTCGTGGGATTATTTGGGGACAATTTTTCCTCAACGAAAATGTCGATGAAGGTTATAATTTTTTACATGTTCCCGATTTTTGTCATCATATATCTTTACAATTAAGCCTTAAGTTAAAACTCAACTAAAGCAAACTCTATTTAAAATTAATCAAAGAATGTGGTTTTGTTAATATTTTATTTCTACAAAGCTTAGTTTTCGAGAAAACCTTTATTTCCAATCACTTATAAATCGAAAATTATTAGAGTCTCGATATTTTCGTTGAGGAAAAATCTCCAAATGATCTCAGGAATCTGATTAGTATTAATTATTTTTGATTAGTATTAATTATACCTGTACTTCATCTATTTTCCTTTTCAAATTTTGGGTTCCACTCATCAAAGTTAATAAAGGCATGTGCCCTGCAATTTTTTTTATATTTTCTATATTATTGACAACTAAATAGGATGGAATAACTAAAAATTTTAAAAATATTAATAAATAAATATAAATAGTATAAATAAATATAAATATAAATATATACATAAATATAAATATAAATATACACACACACACACATATATATATATATATATATATATATATATATATATATATATACACATACAGGGTGTACCACCTGAAAGTGGCCATCCCCTTTTATCTTTTAAATTAAAAGAGATAGACCATAACAAATATATATGAAATTAAATGGCTTTAACTGAACTTTATTCTGAGCATAGCGATTAATTACAAAATTTATCTGTATTAAAGAACGGAGAGATAAGTATAATTTTTTAATAATAATGTAGATATTTTGATATAATAAAAGTTGTAGCGCTGTTTTAAAGGAATATAACGATGTATGATTTAATATAAATGTTTTACATATTATACGAGATTTTCCGGCTTGAAATATTGCGGACGACGTCCACCATTTCATTTTCGGCCCTGCGATATAGCCAACTTCTGACTGAGTATCACGATTAAATGATAACATGACATATGTCAACCTCTAATGCACGAGTCAGAAGTTGGCTATATCGCAGGGCCGAAAATGAAATGGTGGTCGTCGCCCGCGATATTTTAAGCCGGAAAATCTCGTATAATATGTAAAATATTTACATTAAATCATACATCGTTATATTCGTTTCAAACAACGTTACAACTTTTATTATATCAAAATATCTACATTATTATAAAAAAATTATACATATCTCTCCGTTCTTTAATACAGATAAATTTTGTAATCAACCATTATGCTTTCAATAAAGTTCAGTTAATGCCATTTAATTTCATATATATTTGTTATGGTCTATCCCTTTTAGTTTAAAAGGTAAAAGGAGGTGGCCACTTCCAGGTGGTACACCCTGTATATATATATATATATATTATATTACAAAATTGTAATTATTTATTAAAAATATTTTCATTTATTGTAATATACTATATAGCATGAGGTATCTATTAATTTATATATCTGAGTTTTTAATTTGTGAAAAATTATACCCTAGCAAACACCAAGTAACAGTTATATAACTGTTAGTTGTAATTTCCTATTCAACAATATAATTGTTATATAAATTACATGTTATATAACAGTTATATTGTTGAGTAGGAAATTACAACTAACAGTTATATAACTGTTACTTGGTGTTTGCTGGGACGCTATATGAAAAGTTATTACATATAAGAAAATTGAATGATTTTGAGCAGTTAATTACGTATTGTATTTATTTTTTATAAGTGAAAATTTATAACTTTTATAAGTAAAAATTTTATATTTTAAAGATTTGAAACTTAAAAATTTCATTTTTTTTAAATTAAAGATCTTAAAATGGCTCTTACTCTTTATATAAATTGATTTTAATAATATTTAAACAATTATAAGGATAAAATAAATAAAAATTAAATAGTTTAGTTTATTACCTGTAGTTTGCATGATACCAATAATTTCTACATGATCACCTTTTCTGATATCAAGTGAAATATAATCATTGTTAGTAAAATTTATTACGTGAATTTCCAGTTTATATGTGCCATCAGTTATTGCACCACATCCAATAATTTTATTCATGTTATTGTTATATACTTCAGCAAAATTTGTCTTTACGTATCCTCTCAATACTACAAATATTTGATGAATATATATTAACAAAAATTATATATAAAATATATTGTGCCTTTTTAAATAAATATAATAAAATTCTAAAAGATATAAATAATATTTTATATTATATTATCAATAATCATGTTATTATTTTTTAATAAATTTTTATATAGAGTGTCCGAAAAACTGCCCACAATACTTCGAAAAGTGATTCAGGACCGAAAAAAAAGGAAAAAAATTATATAAATATAAGTCCTGAAATAACTCATTTCTTAATTATAATAGTCATCTTTATATTAGCAACATTGTAATTTAATTTTTATAATTATAATAATCATAGTTTAATTCATAGTATTTTAATATAAATAACTTTATTGTGTGTGTAAGTATGTATATGTATGTGTATATGCAGGGTATCCAATAATAACTACATTATCTCTCATGTAAAAAGAAGAAGTGTGTGTGTGTGTGTGTGTGTGTGTGTGTGTGTGTGTGTGTGTGTGTGTGTGTGTGTGTGTAAACCGAACAGAATATACAATTATTTTAATTAATTTTCATTATTCTTTTGTATTTTTTGCATTATTTATGTTACATTGGATATGTGTGTGTATGTGTGTATATATATATATCTTAAATTAATATTAAGATTATTTATTAAAATTTTAAAAACAGTAAATAATGCAAAAAATATAAAAGAATAATGAAAATTGATTGAAGTAATTGTTTATTCTATTCTGTTTATAATTTTTATTCTTTTCTTCAATTTTAAAAAATTTTTTACTTACACTGTTGAATCATACATTTGTATGCTTTCAAGTATATCACTTGGTGTCAATAGTTCGATTGCATTTAAGTTGTCAATTTCGATAAGTTTATCAATATGATTTTCAGAGTTTTGAAATATATGACTTGAGTTATGACTTTCCGTATCATCCAAATCATATTGCGACATTTTTAGATTGATTTAATATTTTGAAGATGGAAAATTAATAATTACCCTACAAAATATACAAAGATGATATACATATATAATATATATTGTAAGAAGAAAAATAATATATTTAATATTTATTAATTATTTTACATGAATCTGTTGTTTGAAATAATAATTTAAAGAAAATATTAAAATAATTATTTTTTTTAATGAATTAAAAAAATTTAATGCTTTAAAATAGTGTTTCAAAAATATTTTTAAAAATAAAAATTTTTTAAAATGTTTTTAAAAATATTTCCTGATTGTGGAATGAAAATATAAAAAATATACTTTACATATTCTATTCATTCTTCATAATAATTTGTCACGCTTTAAATATCAATGTTTTTCTTTTGCAAATCATAATGTAAATTATATGGAAAATTATTGTAGATTATCTTCTTAAAATAATATTAGAAATCATCTGAATGACACATAAAAGTATTTAAAACGTACAATTAGAAAAATTAATACAAATAACCATTGCAGCCTTTCATAATATTCAATATACAAACATAATTTGAATTGTTTATATAGAAATAGAAATGTAGACAATTTTTGATTAATTTTTTTTAACTTAAGATGAAAAATGCAAAAAACATTTTGATTTATTTTTCTTCTCAATTCAAAACTGGAAATCTAGACATTTCGATCTATTTCTTCTTAATAAATTAAATTGTAAAAAAAGTATTATAATAATACTTTTACATTTAATATGATGCAACAAAAATATTGATTACGCTGTACATATAACTATGTAACATAATAATAATAATAATAATAAAATAATTAGTATGATTAAGTGAGCACAATAGACGTAAAAATAAAAAAAAAACTATAAATATACTATCGTATAAAATTATAATATATAACATAGATGTTCAAACAGATGTTCAAAACAAAACGTATATTGTATTAAAAACTTATTTATAATGAAAAAGTTGTAGAACACTAGACAAAAAATAAGTTTAATATTAATACATAAAAATAATGTCAAAATTCAGCTGGTTTGTTTTTAATTTGTATCATTGAGAAGAATGTGAAGTAAATCGAAATGTATAGAACTCTATTACTTTTATTCGAATAATTGAAATATATTTGTATCAGAACATGTGAAAGATTTCAATTATATTTTTCATTATTTAATATAGTATTTATATACTTATTTTATATAATATAATTTACACATTATATAAATGCATATTCACTTTACATACGTTATACATATTTAAATGAAATATTTGTTATAATAATATATAAAACCAAAATTAAATTTGTTTATTTTAAAGAGTTTAATATTAAATGTTATTGCAATACTTTAGTTTATGACTCCTCTCTCAATAATACAATTAATATAAATTAAGTAATATATAAGAAATATATAAGTTTTTATATTATTATTAAGCTTTCAAATAAGAATTATTTTAATTTTCTTTAAATAAATATTATTACATTTTTTACAAATTTTAATAAATTATTCATAAGAATATTATACATATTATAATGTAAACAATGTTTTATTTATCATGAAAACTTATAGAAAAAATAATATTTGATAAAATTGAAGACTTCTGAAAATTAAAATCAATTGGCAAATATATTGTAAAAGTATTAAATATATTGTAAAGTATTTATTCACTTGAAAATAAATCGTTTTCAAATTAAGATTAATAAATATACAAATATATAAATATAAATTTGTATATTACATATTTATATTCTAAAAATCAAGAGTACAAATTAGGCAAAGAAAAACCACACAGTTTAGATGTCAAATCACAAATCTTTCAAAATAAATAATCGTACAAAAATTAATCAAATTAATTCGAACTTATTAATGTGTCTAAAAATCAGATGGTAGAGACAGAAGTGTAATCGAGGCACATCAAAGAGTAAAAATCAATGTGTAAATTAATTATCATAAAAAACAGTTAAAGATTAATTCGCAAACGTTTCGATCATATCCAGATCATTTTCAATGCGGAAAAATATTCATATTACAAAAGTAAATAAATTAGATCAATAATACAAAGGCAGATAAAAAAGCATAATAGTCGCTCGCTGTGGATAACGTACAGATTCAAACTGTAATCCAAGGTGAAACGCAAATTTAAAAGCTCATGATCGATACCAAAATCACATAAATATGACACGATTATACACATATCGGTTCTCGAAGTTAATAATTAAGATGTGAAGAATTACTCCGATGAATGGTAATAAATGGTTGTGTAAATGTCCGCAATCCTGCATGCTACTCACCAATGCTAAGCACATAGGTCGTGGCTGTGTAGAAAAAGCGTGGAAAGAAAAAAGATGGTATGCGCGTAGAGGACAGAGATACCGCATACATTCCACAATTCGCAATATCGTTGCAAAGATCCTTATGATGCAATTAAAAATTATTAGTTCCAAATCCAACTCAATTGCAATCTGAAAAATAAATCAAGCAGAGCAACACGCATTCTCGCAAACACATACACAAGCAGTGCAAAATAAAAAGAAAAGATAGCCAGAAAAATCGTTAGAGAACAAATTAATATGACAAATAAAATTTCTTAAAATAAAATACGTACAAGCATCAGCGCAATATCGGAATAATCGCAATAAGAGAAGAGTAGAACAGAATTACTGAAAAGATGTAACAGTCGTGTGTACTAAGCGAAGTGACGAAAGATACTGAGCCGCGAGATAACGGCGAGCAAAGCATGCCGATTAGGTGTATAGGGAAAGGGAAGGGGAGGGGGGGAAAAAGAGGGAATTTCAGGACCGGATAATGGAGAAAAATAATTCGGAGATAAATTGAATTAAAAATGCAGGGATTTAATGATGGGAAGATAGACTTTATTAAATTTTTCCGTGTCATTCTGCACGTTAAGACCGTTGTTTTGTCGTATAATATGGATCATTTCTGAGATACTCCTTCTGATAAACGAAATATCTTGATCCAAAATTTTAACATCATTCCATGCGAAATCATGTCCAATGAGTCTATGCTCAGATACGACCGATAGATTTTCAGAAGATCGATCGATATTGGATCGATGCTCGCGAACACGAGTAGAAATCTTTCTGCTCGTCTGCCCCACATATGATGCAGAGCAATCCATACAAGAAATTTTGTATACCACATTTGATTGACTATCTATTGGCAGAGGATCTTTGTGCGTTTTAATGAAACAGTTTAGTTTATTTAAAACCACATGGGCCAAGGATTTATTAAGATTGTCAGCAATATCTTTAAAGTGTTCGGAAACTCCTTTTATGTATGGAATGACAAAAAATGAATGAGTTGGAGAAGGGGAGGGGGGGGTGGAAGATATGCCCTGAGGAGCATGGTGATTATGAATCAAGAACTTGATTCTACATGTTATGGTATTAAAAATAAATTTTTCCGGATAACCATTGTTGGAAAGGATTTCGAAAATGATGTTAAAATTCTTCTCATGATATCTGGGATGTGACAGTTTAAAAATTTTGTCAGTGAGACCAATAATGACTCCCTTTTTATGCGCCAACGGATGTTGCGAAAAGAAATTGAGAAACCTACCAGAAAAGGTGGGCTTCATATACCAGTCAAACTCAATACGGTTGTTATTGATAATGATTGTCACGTCTAAAAAATTGAGGCGATTATCATTTGCAATTTCCATGGTGAACTTCAACCTATCATGAAAAGAATTAAAGACAGACTTTGTGAGATTCAAAAAGGAAACAGGAGCAACCAAGGCAATATCATCCACATATCTGAAATGAAAAGGAAGGTGAAAAGGAAGCTGCGAAATAGCCTTTTCCTCCAAATCTTGGAGGACGAGATCCGCACAAATAGGAGAGAGAGGCGAGCCCATCGGTGTTCCAAAAATCTGTTTATAAAAAGCAGGATGTACCCATATCCAAATAGTTTTAATGTTTGTCTCGCTTAGCTTCCAGAAAAAATTCACATTACCAATAGGAAACTGTGGATAGCCATTCTTTTTAAAGAACATTACCGTACCTTCTCTTTGACCATTGGTGTACATCTTTGCTGCAAAATTTTTTTTTTCGGATTACAATGTTCCTTCAAAGTTGCTTCCAACAAATTTTTCTCTCCTACTATCTCGATACAGGTATAGTAAGAAATATCTTGTAAAAGGCAGTTTTTTGTTACAGCATTGTAACTGGCTTGAAGGTTCTTGTCCTTTGAACAATATGGAATTTTATATTCCCACTTGTTGATCATGTGAAAACGTTTTTCATGCCAGGTGTGAGTCTCTAAACAGATCTTCTCATGGGATGGTTGCTGCTTACTCGTCGATGGTAAATTTTGGCTGCTCGCCGACTCTGCCATTTTTGCCAAATATACCTCGTGCAATCTAGGTGGTTTTTAACGTTACGAGATATGACACATCTGTGTATATATATATATATATATAAAGCATTTGAAATATTAACTTGGTTTGCTTAGGATTTTCTTTGTGAGAAATTGTATAAAACAAAAGTCAATCTTAAAAGAGATAAAACGATAATTGTTTCTATAAAGTTAAAAAGGTAGAGGCACTACTTCTTAAAGTTGTTGCTGAATAAATGTGTTGGATGAATATAAAAATGTGTGAGGTCCAACTCGCTAGGCAGCAGAAGCTAGAAGGGGGGGGATGCCAGTTCCACAGACTTTAAGAGAAAATTAAGATCCCATACCACCTCTAATAAAGATGCAATTTCGAAGATAGATTTCAATTTTTCCACCACTCATACACCCCTTTCTGCCTCTTTTAAAATTTCTATTAACTCTACCAACATTAATTCTCCCTCCTTCGAGTCTGGTCCTTCTTTTTTAAATTCTGTTAATCAGAAATGGTTTATTAATCTTTCTTCTTTGAGCATTCCTTTGGAGGTACAGTGCCTGCTACAATTGGGCGATATATTTAGCTTACCTTACGGCAAAACATCTTGCCGCTCTGTTCTTGAATTCATTAAATATGTGGAATGTGGTGTTAAGAGAATGGACTCGGATGTCTCTCAACACATTAGA